TATATATATATATATATATATATATATATATATATATATATATATATACATGTTCACTTTTCTATATTGCATATCCATCTGATAAACTTCTTAACTTTATGACGTAACAAGTCCATGTTGTTTTCGTTCCTATTCACATTATTCGTATGTGGAATTTCGGGAACTTTCCGGTATTATCATTATCTCTTTTCTTCTCCTTCCGGTAGATTTCCTGATTCTAACATAATCTTTGGTTTTGCTATCTTTTCTTAAATTTTCAACATAATCAATGAAAACAATTATGTAATTAATTAATGCATTTCTTTATTTTATTTAAAGGATTTATGGAAAATTTGAGATCAAAAGAATTATGAATAAATGGACAGGATACAGCTTCATGTTTGGTATTTATTGCTTGTTAACAGTAAATTTAATACCATCGTACAACTAATGATTACTTTGATATTAATGTTGATCTTATCAGTGTATCATATTGGATGCTTATTGTAAGATTACTTCTTGAACATCATTCTAAACTGATAAATTCTCAATCATTTCTAATTTAAAGAGAGTAATAAGAATTAATTAATTTATTATTTGCACAGCTTTTAAATTGTTGCTATAATCGTTATTTGCGATATTATTGCTATAAGTAATAAGTACAATATTTTGCTTAGGCTTATTATTATCGCTATTAATTTCAATGTTCTTATTATTATTAATTTTATTTCTATTATTGCTAATTTTTATTGTTGCAAATGCTCACATTTCAAATGATTTCTTAACAATAGATTGGAAAATATCAATATAAATAATATTAATAGTAACAATAATAATAATGGTTGACAACGATGATAACAGTGATAATAATGAACAAATTAATTAATTAATAAGGCAATAATAGTAGTAGTAGTAGTAGTAGCAGCAGCAGTAGCAGCAGCAGCAGCAGCAGTAGTAGTAGTAGTAGTAGTAGTAGTAGTAGTAGTAGTAGTAGTAGTACTAGTAGTCGTAGTAGTAGTAGTAGTAGTAGTAGTAGTAGTAGTCGTAGTAGTTTGAATACTTTTATAAATAACGACCAACAGCTTTTAAGCGCAATGTTTACAATTCATACTTAAATGAAGTAGTAGCAATTAAAAAGCATTTGTCCATTGATGGTGTTCAGTTTGTCATCAAATCATCTAATTTACCTGTGACATAGTCATTACTGCCTTCTAGAATCCATTTTTTTTTCTTTTTTTTTTTGGCATTTTTTGGCCTTTTAATGCAAACTTATATTGCTTTCCGCTTTGTTGATATTCAATGCTTGCT